CTTACTTTGTAACCCAGGCTGGTCTGGAACTTACAAAGATCCTCCTGCCTCAGCCTCCCGAGTGCTGGGATTATAGGCATATGCTACCATGCCTGGCTTTTATTTATTTATTTATTTATTTTGGCTGTTTGGAAGATACATTTTAAAAAGGAATCTGGTACTATAACTACTTAATTGAAGAGAGATCAACATTACTCATTTCTTTTTTTTTGTTTCCACTGATAATAACCAAAAAATAAAAATGAAAAATAATAACAATAATATGTGGGAAAATATGAAATAGTATAGGTATTCTTTGTACCACCAAACCCCACAGGTATGCACCTTAAATTACAGTGAATATGAGATAGGTACTAAGCCTCCTGTGCTACCTGAGTCTTTTTTCATTTCCAGCATGTTTGTGTACACGAGTACTTTTCACTGCATGGAGCATGATTTATTTAAATATTTATAAACACATACACTATTTTTACTTACCATAAGTTTTAAACACAAGCCACTTATTCCCACTAAGAGGAAACATCATTGTATGTATTGCATATTTATAGGTGCGTGGGACTGGACAGGGTTTTATATTTTAAGATGTGTCTATTCTGTATTCTGTGGACATTTGTAAGACTTTTCAAATTTAGCTGTACTCTAAGCACTTCTAGCCTTACCCATAGCAGTACCTAACCCCTACCAAGGCTGCTGCTGTGCTTGCTAGATTATGGTGGAGATAAACTTGCTGGGAACACTGAGAGACTGAAGACAAAAATACATCTCAGCACTGATTCTCAGTAATCACAGCTCAGGTGCCACAAGAATCTGGAGGGTCTGAGAAGGGGTAGAGATAACGATAGTTCCAATGTGGAGTTTTTTGTGTGAAATAATGTTTAGGAAACAAAACAACTGAAAATGATTTTGCAGAGTTTGAGCTGAAGCTATCAGAGAATGCTCACATAGCTGTCAATGTCAGGTAAGTAAGACAGGAAAAAGGCAGCTTTTAAACAAACTGGTGGATCAGGAGAAGTAGATACAAAAAGTAGTAGTCTCTGCATGGAGAAATCTAAAACAGAGAAGCTAGGAAGTCAGACAAGAGCCAGGATGGTATTGGTGGCTGCCTGAAAATGCTCGGGAGAAGAAAGGAAGAGGGGACAGGTCAGAGTATTTCATTATGGTCTGGATGCCCTCAAAGGGCAGAAGCTGTCGTGGAAATGTCTATGAACACAGGTGTTTAAGGCCACCTTACACAGAAGGCCAATAGATAGGATACTGGGGGAGATAGAGATAAAAAGCCAGACTTTCTCTTTTGCTTTGGAGCAGGAGACCAAAAACAAAAAGATATATTAGAAAGTAATGTTGGAAATCTACAGAAGGATAAAACTGTGTGCCTGATGTCGGATAGTTTGGGCTATAGAATGTAGTAGACCTTAATACAGTCATGAAGACAGATTGTGAGCAAAGAGAATGAGCTATCCATGCCTTATTCACCCAGAAATCTACAATGAGTGTGCTCATCTCATCTATCTAATTTGTAATGTAAGATCCTCAGTCTGATGGGATGATTAGGATGCAACAAAATGTAAAGACAACCAATGGACTCAAGCTCACACCAAGGCCAAGAAGCGTAGCTGTACAGGGACCTCTGCAAATAGTTACAGACCTTAGTATTCTCCAGCAGTTTGTCACAGGTATATGTGTTGCGGAAGCGAGCACCAGCAGTTCGTCACAGCTGTGTGGAAGCTTTTTTCCCTGGGGATGGAGAAATCCAGACATTTTGCCATTGATTCTTTTTAAACTAAGATTTCTAGTTTCCCAGTTGACTTCAAAGTGGCAAATGGCAACAAATATTTATTCTCAAATAGAAAAGGTACCAATTTTTATAGGTTTTGCAGAATTTTTCTTTCAAATATTTTAAATAAATCAAGAGACTTATCAATATATGTAAAAGAAATTCTAATTATTTATATGATTAGAATGTTTCCAGCATTGATTAACCTAAAAGAAAGTTCTGGAATCAAACACAGACTTCAATCCAAGTTTTTCCAACTAGTAGACATAAGACTTGCAATTTTTGTAAATTCAATGGAGTCCAGGTTAGCCAAGTATAAAATGTAGCTTACCTTGTAGATTTATTGAGAACACAAAATGAACATGTAAATATCTGAATCACTGTCTGTCAAACAATATGTATTCAAGAGAAGGAATTGCAGTTCTCCACACATCACCTAAAACAAGCTTCTTACAAAGTATTTCTTCCCAAGCCTACTTGTGGCTAGTGTAGAGCAGAGAGAGCAGCTTTCATTCTCACAATTTCATGAACCATAGCGCTCACTAGGCATTGCATATCTATCATGGTACAATATCTTTTGCTTACTGGAACCTTAAGTTTTAAAATGTAACAAGAGCAAAATATCATTGGCTTTTACAGCTTTACACCAGTCATACACCAGAGCCCTACATAAAGATAAGCAAACACATGAACGGAACTGCAAACATGTAAATTATTTCCTAAAGGGATAAATAACAAATGATAAATTGTGTTTTCAAGGACTTATTTTCAAACAAAAAAAAGATACAAGCCACACTATTTAAATAACTGACAAAATGAAATCACTCAATAACTACAAATCACATTGGATACTGTTAGACAAAATCTAAGGGCATATTTTCAAGTTATAAATATTAATAGGCAAAGTTGGGCTTCAAATTGTAACATATGTAATTGAATCAGCCAGATGTTCTTCCACTTCTTTCTGTTATTCTGATATTCATTCTACCATAAAACTACCTTCAAATATTGTGAAAATATCACTGAAAATTGAAAGAAATAAATAACATAATAGTGTGATTCTTGACTCTCATTGGCTCATGCCTCTGATGGCTATATTAATAATTCCAGCTGCTATGTATACTCAAAGAAGTATTGGAACAGAAGGTCAGATAGAAGACCAATAAAGTGATCCCATGTTTATTTATGTGTTGTCCTTGTCTCTCTTCAGCTATCATAGAAAATCATCAGCTCTTGGCTAAATGTCCTCCTCACGCACATTCCCACACAGAGCTGAAGAAAGGAAAGACAGTCCTTAGACAGCTAGTATTTGCGACAATGCAGCACAGCTTTCAGAACTTTGAGTCAAAAGATACAGACATTACCTGTGAATCATGTTTCCTGCGTCTGTTTCCTCCACTTCAGTATGAGCGAGGTCTCCATCTCTCTGTGCTGCTTGTGTTGTTTCCCTTTATTTAAGCTCTCCTTCTTTATCTTGGTCTCTTTAGTCAGAGCATCATGAGATGAGAATCAAGACTATGACAGCTAGGAGAGCTGGGGATTTAGCTCAGCGGCACAGTGCCTGCCTGGCAAGTGCGAGGTCATGAGTTCGATTCCCAGTACCGGAAAACAAACAAACAAACAAACAAAAAACAGAAAACAATCCCCTCTTCCCCCAAAAAAAGACTATCGTGGCTGGGAAAAGGTGATGACCACAAAATAAAGGGGTGAAGTGTGAGGTCAAGACCAGAAACAAATGATTATAACAGAAACTGTTCATATTGCAGGGACTCAGCACATATTTAAGGAATAAGTAATTCATGCAATCCCCTTAGTACCACAGTCAGATATTGTTATTCCCCATTGATAAATGAGAAACTCATGCTGAAGTAGATCGAGTAGATTGTTGCATAGCAAAAAAGAAGCAGACTGGAGTGCAAAGTAAAAAAAAAAAATTGACACTGGTATGGTGGTGCATGCCTAAAATCCCAGCACTTGGGAGGCTGAGGTGTGAAGATCACAGCATGTTTGAGGCCAGCCTGGGCGACAAAGGAAGTTCAAAGACAGCTTGAACTGCAGAGTGAAACCCTGTCTCAAAAAAAGAGAGAGACAAAGAACAAACCAACAAAACCAATCTGGGTGCAAGGATTCTTGCCCTTCGTGCCATGATTCTCACTGGTCTTTCTAGAGATACGTGCAGTTTTCTCTGTGTCTCTTTATTTTCATGCTGGGCCCTCTCATTCCCTTTGTCTCTCTTTCCCTCAGAATGAGCAGAGAATCCTGCAAAACTGTAGACCCCTTGCTTCAGCTGCTGAGTAACTTCCTGTGTGCCTTGGTTTTCATTTTCAAAAGATACTGAGAGCATGGAGGAAAATGTTGAATTTGTCTCCTAGAAAAGCAAGAGTACAAGTCCAAGATCCTGGAACTTCTTTCCTTCCCATAGCATAAAACAGTATCTCCTATCTTATTGCTAAGAGGCAATTAAAAACCCAAGCCCTTCATGGGTTTGAACATGTATACTCAAATAGCTTGCAGTATAAAAGGAAATACAACAGATGCAGGAACAGAAGAGGTGAAGCCATCTTTAACTAATTGTACTTGTTAAACCAACATTTATTTTTAAGCCCACTGTGCTGCGTTTATCAGGATCACCCTGCCGGCGAGGCTGCCAGGAAGGAACAGGGCAGTGGGAGGATGAGCAGAGAGACAGCAGATAATAGATGTGAGGTCAGATGAAGATTTGAGGGCAGAGAGAACAGACCACAGAAAACAGTACTTTACCTAAGGAGTATTAAGGTTTTTTAGTTCAGTAGTAGAGCATGCCAAGGCCCTGGGATCAATCCTCAGCAGAAAAAAAAAAAATCCTAAGGTGCTCTTAGGGAAGGAAACAGGGCCTGTCTGGCATCACCGACTCTGCCCTTCAGCTCCTGAAACCCATTTGTCAGCGCTGCCTTCCTTTATCTGCTCCTTGCCTTTGGTGACCAGAATCTGAATTCATGAGCCGAGCGTTGGGTGATCCCTTCCCCACTTCAGACCCTACAATTGAAAGCCATCAATTTGCTATTAAGGCATTGGGTCCTATCTGAGAATTTAGGGAGAGGGTATTCCGGAGTGAAATCTTGACAGATGAATCCAAAAGAATGAATAAGAGTTGGCAAAAAAAATAGAAAGGGCCTTCCAGGCTAATCAAAGTTACAGAACTAGGAAAATTGTTCTGTCTGACTTTATCCTAAAGTCATTTAACATTGCCTACTAAACACACTCGCAATGTGAGGAATAGTGGAGGATCAGAGTTGGGTGTGTGTCAACTTGGGAACCCACAGAGAGCGCCTAGTTCCTAACTTAGTTCTGCATAGGGAGCCACAAGCAAGCGGAAGTTACTGGAATATAAAATGTGATACAAAGAGCAGCGTAAAGAATCCTGAGAAATGCACGCAGGCAAGTGCATAGAGCACAGCTTTCCCGGTGTAACAGCATTACCCGGAACTCACTGTGTAGCTGTCTTATAATTCCATATGTTACTCTAGCTTCACTATCACCTTTCACAAAAAATTAAAGTGAACAGATACAAGATGGGCTATTTTTCACTATTGTATCAAACAGTCATTGTGAGATAACTGCATTCAAAGTTTTGAAACTGGGTACCTACTCAGAAAAATATGAAAGTATAGGTGAAAATCTCTATGAGCGGAGGTGACTGCTTCTGCCTCTAGCATGGAGGAATACATTTCAACTTAGTAAACATAACAGTAAATATTTTTGTCACTTACAAATAAATAGCAAAAAGTCTTCTTGTTCTCAGTGATTTTTAAATAAATCACAAGTAAAGCTTTAGAAAACTATACATCTCAGAAAATTCTGAGGCAGCTATAAAGCACTGGAGTCATCAGAATTAATGACTGTTTTCAGTCTTTGTAAAAAGTAAGTAAATAAACAAAATCCAAATCATGCTGTTCATAGCAGGTGCATAATTTTAAATTGTCTAAAATTTCTTCTCATGGATATAGAACTTCCCTTTTCAAATTCTGTATTGCATTTGAGACTTGCAATCCTAACTACATAGTGTAGCCACTCCTTTTGCTCCCATGAGAAAAGCACCCTACAGTTGGCTTCTTGGTATAACTTAAAACACTATTCTTCAAAAAGTTAACCTTTTCTAAGCTCACCGACATCCCAATTAGCACCCATCAACATCTGAGTATCAATGTCTGTTCTGTGCTGCTTTAGGTACAGGGAGAGACCTCAATTAAAGAACCCACTCCCCCTTTCTTCTCACCAGCTTATGATAAAGTTTGGAGACAAACATGCATGCAACAACTAGGAAACAATTGAGACAGGTTATAATTAAACGTTGAATGTAATGCCAACTGTGAGTGCATGATTGTGCTCTAATTACCAATTACTTTAAGGAATTAATACGTAACTTTAGGGATTTCAATCACAATTTCTCTACAAGCATTAATTCTTGTAACCAGTAATTCATTTCAATTCAAAGAGTTCCAAACACACTCTGTTTTAGCAAATTATCAGCATTGTTCTCAGAAATGGTTTTTCCATTAAGCAATTAATTTAAATCCTGATTGTTCTGACCTCCAGGGCCTTTTGGGGGGTGCTTGCTCCTCAGATGTAATTTAATTTTTCAAATGAATTTTTGACTTGTGCAGGATTGAGGCCCTGAGGGGGAGGGATCTGCTTTGTCCCTAGAAGCCAAACAGGAAAACCTGGGGTCCCCAAACAAGCCAACTTTCCCCGCTGGTAACTTTGAGCATTGGATATGTTTCCTTTCCCTGTCGTCTGTCCTTTTCTTTCTTCTCTTCTCCCTCCCTCCTTCCCTTCCTTCCTTCCTTCCTCTTCCTTTTCTTTCCATCACCCTATAGCACATGCTCTGAGTCTTCCTTCTTCCTCTGCCTCCACATCTATTTCAGTCTAAACAGTGGTTTCTGCAGAGGAGCTGATCTCTCAGAAAGGAGGACTTTCTGGTCTTTTTGTCTTGCTTGTTTGTTCTTAATGATAGTCATGGAACCCAGGGCTTTATGCATGTTAAGTACGCATACTATCACTGAGCTATGCCTCCAGCCCTGATCTGTGCAGCCTCCCTGAAAGAAGGGTGAGGACTAGCCCAGGGTAGATTATTATGGCTGGAGAGAACAAACTCAGTCCATCTTTAGAAACTTTGGCCAACTTCCAATCAGCTAGTAGATGTACTAAGAGGATCGCAATCAGAGCTTTCAATGCACTTCCTGGATAGTGTCATAGCTAGTGTTTCATGACCTTCTCTCAACTACCCTGAGCATCCTTGAGGATGTTCAGTCTGGGACAGCATGAAGGACTTGGGAAAATGACCATATGTTTCATAGTCATATCCAAATCTGACTTTGTTTCATAGTCATATCCAAATTTCTTCACCATTAACCAAGAGGCAATTGGACACAGTACGTATGACATGACATTTTTCTCCTTTGAGTGTAATGATAGTTGGAAGGATGTGTAAGGTACTTTACTTTCTGAGCTTCAGTTTTCTCTCTTGTGAGAAAGTGCTATTCATACAATGGGTTGCTGTAGGAATTTATACCATGAGAGCAACCTTTGAACAAGTTGGTTAATTTTTCCATGTGTCAAGTTTCCTCTGTATCTTAGAGAATAAATTGGATAAAATATGTACAAAACACTCTATCAGCATTTTTGTGGCTTTTTGTTTATGCTTTGGATTTCTCATATACAAAAAATGCAATATTTAAATTTGTGTATCTATTTTAAATAATCTTAAGGTCTCAAGGTGCATTCACTTTCCTTCTGGAAATGTCTCATTTTCTGTCTCATGTCTCATTTCCTTCAAATGTCTCAAATTTATCCTTCTTTTCAGGAAAATAGTACTCTATTGCATATAAATACCACACTTTCATCTATTAATAAATATCACTTTTTCTGTTGATGGAATATAGGCTGTTTCAAAGACTTAGCTATGATTTGTGCTGCTATAAACATGAATATGCATGTATCATTTTGGTATGATGTCTGTAACTCTCTTGGGGCATTGAGACTAGATGGGTTGAATGGAATTTCTAGTCTTAGGTTTTTGAGGAATCTTCATACCGATTTCCACAATGGTTGTGCTAGTTTATATTCCCATTAACAATGTAGAAGTTTTCTTTTTCTCCACAGCCTTGTCAGCATTTACTACTACTTGATTTCTTGATCATACATTTTCTTTCTGGAGTAAGATGAAATATTAGTGTTGCTTTAATTTTTATTTCTCTAATAGCCAGAGATGTTAAACATTTTTTCATGTATTTATGGACCATTTATACTTCCGAAATGTATCTATTCAGCTCTGTTGCTCATGTTGCATTGGAACTTTTATTGGGGGGTTGTCTAATTTTTTTGTGTTCTTTGTGTATTCTAGATATTAGTCCTCTGTTCAGGAAGTAGCTGGAAAAAGTTTTCCCCATTCAGTAAGTTGTCTCTTCATTCTGTTGGTTGTTCCTTTATTGTGCAGAAGTTTTTTAATTTGATGTAATCCTACTCATT